ACAAGGCTAGTTCCAGAGCTAAGGGTAATGTCCTACGAAGAAAGGTTAAGGGAAATCGGCCTGACAACAAATGATGACTGAAGAACAGGAGGGTTAGGGGAGACATGATAACGACATACAAAATATTGCGAGGAATGGATAAGGTGGACAGAGAAAGGATGTTTCAGAGATGGAACACAGAAACAAAGGGTCACAATTGGAAGTTGAAGACCTAGATGAGTCTGAAAGGGATGTTAGGAAGTATTTTTTCAGTTATAGAGTTGTGAGGAAGTGGAATAGTCTGGCAAGTGATGTAGTGGAGGCAGGAACCATGCATAGCTTTAAGACGAGGTATGATAAAGCTCATAGAACAGGGAGAGAGATGGCCTAGTAGCGATCAGTGAAGAGGCGGGACCAGGAGCTGAGTCTCGACCTCTGCAACCACAAATAGGTGAGTACACACACACACAAAATCTACAGTTACCATTCTTGAACCTGCCTTCAACCTCTGGTAGTATTTTCAACATCAGAAGTCCATCAGTTGTCCACCTGATGTTCCATCATACACTAAGCCTAAGATGATTTGGTTTTCGAGTTGGGTGACTTACCCAACCACCACAGAACCATCGACTGGATTTACGTTAGAATAGAGCCAGTAGTCATTCTTTTTCTTTTTGTCTAGTAGCAAGATCTCATAAGAGGGGTAAATATCCCCAAAAGATAATGAAAGGTTGAGGGGGGAGAGTATTCAGATTCGAACTGAGGATGGGGAGAGGCAGTCCAATTTTTCAGATCAAGAGTCATGTGATATTTCATTTAAGGGCAAGGGTTGAACCCACTGGGGGTCAGAGAGCACCCTGGGAATAGAAGTCAATCAAGTTCAGTCCATGGAAGGAGAGTACAAGTCCAATTCGTTAGATCATGAGCCCTCAGCAGCATGAAAAAACCTACCATGAGGGGAGGTGTCCCTACTAATACTCTTTAGGCCAACAGCAGGAAGTTCCTCATATTAAGACTTCTTCGCTGCGACAATGAACCCCTTGAAGTAAAGTTTCAGGAACAGCAATTGAAAACTATACGAAATTCGCCATTGAAGGGCATATTATGGAAATAAATGGTATAAAATACCGACACAATGGAAATATAAACACAAATGCAGTATAATGTGATCCTTTATTGACAACGTTTCACCCACACAGTGGGCTTTTTCAAGTCACACACGGATCTACCTGGGGTTGGAAGGTACGGGAGTATTTATAGTTCAGAATGTTGAGGTCAGGTGGAGAATGCTGCATCTGATGATCTACCGGGTGGGGTTGTAGAGTCTTGGGTAGCTTGGCAGGGGTATTGGAGAAGTTGTAGACCTTCTGCAGTGTTCTATGTTCTTATGTGGGATAGCGATGAAGAAGTTTCTTGGCGAGTGGTTCAGCTATGTTATAGAACCATTGTTCTGGTTGAAATTGTTGGTTATAGAGATAAGCGAAAGATTCCAGGATTCTTCTGTATTGAGTGTTGTCTTCTGTGGCTATAAGTCTTGAGTTTCTGGGAGTTAATTAAATGGTTGTGTGAATTGCGATGTTGTACACAGGCATTCCTTGTATCGTCAGTCCTGCTTGCATATTGGTGTTCTGAAATGCGTGTTTGGAGGTCTCTTGATGTTTCGCCCACATATAATTTGTTGCAGTCATTACAAGGGATTATGTATACCCCTGCAGAGGATGGAGGCTTGTCCTGTCTACTACTGGTGATGTCCTTGATGGTCGTGGTTGTGGAGGTAGATACTTGGAATGATGTTTTGACAAAGATGTTGGAAACCTGTTTGGCAATGGAGTTGTTGGGGAGGACTATGTATCTCTTCTCGGCAGTGTCTTCTCTGGGTGTGTTGAAGATGTTTAATGCCCGCCGTCTGCAGTCTCTGATGAAGTGACGAGGATAGTGGAGTTTAGAAAATGCTTGTTCAATTATAGTGCCTGGTATCCCACTGAGGCCCATATCCTCGGCAATAGGCAGTGCTCCCCACAAGCTCTCAGGAATTCTCGCCAAACACCTCTCTAAACTCTTGGGCACTATCAGTCCAGCACATCTTAAACACTCGGGTGATCTTCTCAATCGCATTCGCAACATCAACATCAGGAACAAGAAACTTTCCAGCCTTGACGTGACTTCCCTATTCACCAAAGTACCTACTACACAAGCCATCGATCTCTTGCGCAGGAAAATTGACGATTCACTTGATCTTCCCATTCCAGCCAGCGATTTCATCGACCTTGTTGAACTATGTGTTGGCTTTACGTGTTTTTCCTTCGAAAAAACACCTCTTTCAGCAGACTTTTGGACTACCATGGGTTCGCCACTCAGTGCAGTCCTGGCGAATTATACATGGAACATCTAGAAGCGAACGTTTCTCCACCATTAATTCCTTGTCTGTCACCTGGCTCCGTATGTTGACGACATTCTCCTCATAACTCCTAAACGCTTCAACTTCAAGCTCTCCAAGACAAGCTCAACCAGGTCGAGCCTTCAACCCAGTTCACACTTGAAGAAGAAGTCGACAACACTCTTCCTTTCCTTGAGTTCTGCTCTGCAAAGCTGACCACGAACTTCGTTTTAAAGTCTATCGAAAACCCACCAACCAAAACGATCTTCTCCACTTCTACTCTCACCACGACACCAAAAACAAACGGGGTGTGATTATAGGCTTCTTCCTACGTGCACTCAGAATCTGCAGCAATGAGTTCCTTGAGGAAGAATGCACTATAATTGAACAAGCATTTTCTAAACTCCACTACCCCGTTCACTTCATCAGAGACTGCAGACGGCGGGCATTAAACATCTTCAACACCCAGAGAAGACACTGCCGAGAAGAGATACATAGTCCCCCCCAACAACTCCATTGCCAAACAGGTTTCCAACATCTTTGCCAAAACATCATTCCAAGTATCTACCTCCACAACCACGACCATCAAGGACATCACCAGTAGTAGACAGGACAAGCCTCCATCCTCTGCAGGGGTTTTACATAATCCCTTGTAATGACTGCAACAAATTATATGTGGGCGAAACATCAAGAGACCTCCAAACACGCATTTCAGAACACCAATATGCAAGCAGGACTGACGATACAAGGAATGCCTGTGTACAACATCGCAATTCACACAACCATTTAATTAACTACAGAAACTCAAGACTTATAGCCACAGAAGACAACACTCAATACAGAAGAATCCTGGAATCATCGCTTATCTCTATAACCAACAATTTCAACCAGAACAATGGCTTCTATAACATAGCTGAACCACTCGCCAAGAAACTTCTTCATCGCTATCCCACATAAGAACATAGAACACTGCAGAAGGTTTACAACTTCTCCAATACCCCTGCCAAGCTACCCAAGACTCTACAACCCCACCCGGTAGATCATCAGATGCAGCATTCTCCACCTGACCTCAACATTCTGAACATGACTATAAATACTCTCGTACCTTCCAACCCCAGGTAGATCCGTGTGTGACTTGAAAAAGCCCACTGTGTTTGTGAAACGTTGTCAATAAAGGATCACATTATACTGCATTTGTGTTTATATTTCCAAGGGCATATTATATTTAATCAGGAGAAGCGCTAAGCAAAATATGCTCATTGAATTCCTCAAGTGTAAATATGTGTTCTTTCTGATTTCTATTCTTATCTTTATTTTTTATTTTAATCAGGAAAAAGCGCTATACCCATAGGGGTCATGTATTACATAGGGTGGGAAGGGAAGGATAAGTCCGATTTCTTGGATCAAGAGCCAATCACCAACATATTCAGGTTTTATAACTGTCAGTATAAACTATTTTAGATTGATATTTAGGGAGATTAAAAAAATTAAATGGGCTTTAGTGTTAACATAAGTGAATTTATGTTGCATAAAGTGAATTGTTGGTACAAACAGGGTCAGCACATTATTATTATTATAATCAAGGGGGAAGCGCTAAACCCGGAGGATTATACAGCGCCTGGGGGGGATGTGGAAGGCATTCAGGCTTAATTCGGGGAACTGGAGCACAGATCCAATTCCCTAAATCAAGAGCCCCTCACCAACATCAAGGAACCTTCCTTGAGGGGCAGGGTCAGCACATATAAACAAATTAGAGAAAAGTAAAACTGTAGAACTTAACCGTCATTCAGAGCTACATGCAAAGATAAAAAGAGATGGTATAGGGAGAGGTAGAGGAGAGGATATTATGAAAGAGCGCTAAACCCGTAGGGATAATACAGCGCCTGTGGAGTAAAGATGGTAGGCATTCAGGGGATTGGAGCACAGATCCAGTTCCCTAGATCAAGAGCCTCTCACCAGCATCAAGGAACCTATGAGGGGGGAAGAAAGGATCAACAAAGGTAAGTGTAGAGAGGGAGTTACATCTAACGTAGCAAATTGTTGTCAGTCAAATAATCAACGAGTCTACATTAAATATTGGAGAGTTGTAAAGCTTGGCAAATAAAGCAAGCACATCAAGGAATTTTTTAAGACACCAGCCCGTCTACCACCGAGGTAGTGGTGACCTTGTACGCTCACTGATCCATCTCAGTTTTCACCAGCGCCAAGGCACCCTTCCTAAAAACAACCGCGCTATATAATACCATGTTCCAGAGAGACAGTGAAACTTTATGAGACAATAGAAGTGGCCCAACTCTTGGGTACGACTTCCATTAGTGGGTTCTGCATACCTGGCATGTCTTTCAATTCCTGCAAACCTCCCTGCACTGTAGGTCAAAAGCCACTTTTGTTGTTTGTGAAAAATGTCATTCGTAGTATACAATACAGCATTTATACCCAATGCTATATGTTAGTGGGTTAAATAATAAAGAACATACTCAGAGCTAATTAAAACAATATAAATAATAAAATATGGAGAGAAAGAAAGATTGTACAAGATAAAAAGTATTGTATATTCCTTAAAACTTAGTGAACTAATGCGAATATGGATAACAATTCAAACAAAAATTATTTGATATACATAAATGCCCAGTGGTGTTCCAAATCAGTTAGAGTATATCTTTACTGCACAAATTTGCAGGGTTCCATATTCACAGAAATCAATTATCCAACGCTTTTACTGAAGGGCAACCAATGAAGAAATTCCAGTGCTTCTTTGATTTTGGTCATTACCTTATATCAATATTAACCAGATTATAGTGCAGCAAAATAAATTCAAATCTGAAAAAAAAAATAGTCTAGAAACTGAATAAAACTGAGTTTCACGGGACCAATGGCTAAATAGTCCAACATCTTCAATGGTTTCAACGAATTTCATATAAAATCTGACACTAATCTTTTTTAAAAATAAAATTATGTCATTCACTTGGAATATTTAAAAACTGATTTTCCTTTTTATGTTTTCTTCTAATAGTTTCATTTGTAGTATCTGTGAGAATCATGCAAGTTTTCTTAGTTTCCACAATGTTCAACACAGTCTCCCAGCACACTATAAAATACAGCCAGTCAAAATTTTACTTCACTTTCCTCAAGCAGTTTCATCTTGGCAATGAAGAATCCCTGGATATTGTGCTCGTGAGAGTAAACTCGAACACACATGTTCATGCTTTCATGAAACCTTAGAATAATACAATTTTTATTAGCTACACAGCAAAAAAATTATTTTACAGTACAATATTATGGGTTTCACGATACAAATATTATTTTTGTGTAAACTTTATTTAGCTTCAAGCAAAACTTAGGAAAATCATGAAACAATGAAATTATTCCAAAATATATAAAGTAATGCATATTTTTTGACAGGTACACAGAAAAATACAATAAAAATAATGGCGCCTAATCCACTCTTATTGGTAGAAAAGCTAAAACTGCAAGAAATGATGAAGCCATACTCACTGCATGTTTCTGTAGTTTTGCAATCCAGGTTCACCAAATGGCAGAAATACTGGAACAATTATCACATTTCTATTTTCCAGAGCATGCTGTACCACCTCTTCATTCTCATCCACCTTTGGGGAAAAAAGACACTACATCCTTTGAGTAGAGACCATAAATATTGGCATTGAAAAAGAGTTCAATGTGAACAAACACTGCCAATAGTTCAGGATTGAATTATTCGCAGAGTAAAAACCTAACTGATTTTAACAAAGGGTTTACCTGAACTTAAGCTTAGTTTGAACAAAATGTAAATATCTTTCAAAGGTAGCATTACATTTAGTTTGTCAGCGTATACGTTAGCTCACAGACAGGTACACTAGCTTGGATGACTTTCACTTCTGATCTTTAATCTCTTGTTATGAAGCTGGATTACATTTATGTGGAAGGGATAAGGAGATAAAATGAATGAATGACCGGGATATTTTTTAATTTGTCCAGATTTCAATGTTGTATAACTATAATGACTTCAGCAGTCTTTTATTAATAAAGTAAATGGTCACTGATTTAATATAAATCCCTTTTGGGAATATAATATAAAATCCTTGTAGGAGTGAAGAATAGAGGGATGTGAGTGTGCGATAGGTGCCAAAGGCATTAATTAAGAAAAATGAAAGGGGGTAATGCAACTGGAACTGATGGGATCACCAATGAAATGTTAAAAGCGGGGGAGGGGGGGATATAATTTTGGAGTGATTGGTACTTTTATTCAATAAATGTATGAAAGAGGGGAAGGTACCTAGGGACTGGCAGAAAGCGTGTACAGTTCCTTCATATAGAGGGAAGGGGGACAAAAGAGATTGTAAAAATTATAGAATAAATTTACTGAGTATACCTGGTAAAGTGTATAGTAGGGTTTTTATTGAAAGAATTAAAGGTAAGAGGAGAGCTGGATTGTAGATGAACAAGGAGGCTTTAGAAATGGGTAGGGGATGTGTACATCAAGTGTTTACATTAAAGCATATAAGTAAACAATATTTAGATAAAGGTAGGGAAGTTTTCACTGCATGTATGGATTTAGAAAAGGCATTGGATAGGGGAGCAATATCATCATATCATATCATCTTTATTTCTACAAGTACATGTACAAGGTATAGAGGCCTAGCTGACAGCAATGACATACATCTATATAGAAAACCGCTTGTTATGCAGAGCATTTCGGGTAAATTAGGTCAATTTTGTTCCAGGATGCGACCCACACCAGTCGACTAACACCCAGGTACCCATTTTCATGATGTGGAATATAGACAATCGGTGTAAAGAAACACGCCCAATGTTTCTACCCTCGCCAGGTAGATGTTGCAAGTGTAGGGAATAGGTAATAAGTTACTAAATGCTGTAAAGAGATTTTATGAGAATAGTGAGGCTCAGGTTACCGTGTGCAGGAGAGGGGGAGATTACTTTCCAGTAAAAGTAGGCCTTAGACAGGGATGTGTAATGTCACTATAGTTGTTTAACATAATTACAAATGGGGGTTGTAAAAGAAGTAAATGTTAGGGCGTTGGGGAGAGGGGTGGGATTAAATTATGGGGAATCAAATACAAAATGATGATACTGTGCTTTTGGGAGAGTCTAAAGAGAAATTGCAAAGGTTGGCTGATAAGTTTGGGAGGGTGTGTAAAGGAAAAAACCTGAAAGTGAACATAGATAAGATTAAGGTGATGAGGGCATCAAACGAGTTAGGTAAAGAAAAATTAGATATTACTTTGGAGGGGGGGGGAGTATGGAAGAAGTGAACGTGTTCAGATATTTAGGGGTAGATTTGTCAGCAGATAGGTTTAAGAAGGACGAGGTTAACCATAGAATTTAAGAAAAACAGGTGAGTGGTGTACTGAGGTATCTGTGGAGACAAAAAACCTTATTCATGGAGGCAAAGAAGGGAATGTACAAGAGCATAGTGGTACTAACACTCTTATATGGGTGTGAAGCACGGGTTGTGAATGGCGCAGCGAGGAGGCTGGAGGCAGTGGAGATGTCGTGTCTAAGGGCAATGTGTGATGTAATTATGCAGAGAATTCGTACTGTGGAAATTAGGAGGTGTGGAGTTACTAAAAGTATTATTCAGAGGGCTGAAGAGGGGTTGTTGAGGTGGTTTGGTCATTTAGAGAGGGTGGAGAAAAATAGAATGACTTCGAGGTTGTATAAATCTGTAGTGGAGGTGAGGAGGGGTAGGGGTCGTCCTAGGAAAGAATGGAGGGAGGGGGTAAAAGAGGTTTTGTGTGCAAGGGGCTTGGACAAGCAGCAGGCATGTGTGAGCGTGTTAGGGGTGATTGGAGACGAATGATTTTTGGGACTTGACGAGATGTTGGAGTGTGAGGAGGGTAATATTTTGTGAAGGGATTCAGGGAAACCGGTTAGCCGGACTTGGGTCCTGGAGGTGGGAAGTACAATGCCTACACTTTAAAGGAGGGATTTAGGATATTGGCTGATTGGAGTGACATCTAAACTGTCGTATCTGGGTGCCTCTGCAAAGACAATGATTAATTATGTGTGAATGATGGTGTAAGTTTCTTTTTTGGGTCACCTTGCCTCGGTGGAAGACAGCCGTGTTGAAAAAAGCAAAGGTACAGACAGTGCAATACTGCACTTTTTTTTTTAACGTGCTGGTCGTCTTTCACCAATGCAGGGTGACCCCCCCCCAAAAAAAAAAAATCACTTACACTCTCACTCTTTGCAGAGGCACGCAGATACGACAATTCACTCTAAACAGCAAATATCCCAAACCCTTCCTTTAAACTGCAGGCATTGTAGTTCCCACTTCCAGGAGCGCATACTCAAATAGTTTTAATGATACAAATGAATGCACAAATAGTAAAATACAGTATAACAGGCTTGAAAATTATTTCTCCAACAGTTGTTTAATAAAAGAATCATTAAGCTTACCAAAAGAGATGAGGTGGAGTACACGATAAACCCGCCTCTCTTCAAGGAGTCGATACCCCTGAGTAAGAGGAATTTTTGCAATGACGAACATTCCCTTATTTCTTCCTTACCATTTGGCTTGTAGTTCTCCCTCTCAATCTTAGTGACGCTGCCTATGCCTGAGCAAGGTGCATCCACTAATACGTGACTGAAGGAATTGTCCATGGCCTGAAATTTTACAGGTGCTTCATTTTCCCATGATTATATATTAAAGAAATACGAGCTTTTAAGAAAAACTCAATATGTTTTAGAAATACAAAATTCTAGTCTGACAGTCAGTTCTTGCAGTAGTGTTTGGCATCAAGGTGATATCCTTCAAGAATAGCCTGTTTATAGAATACATCAAATCAAAATTGGAATACGTAATAATGGTGTGATATCTGAATCAAAGGAAATGTGTAAAGTAAAAATGTATAGAAGCATCCTATAAAATGATTCTCAAAGTTGAAACCACAAGTTACAAATTAGTACTAAAAACAGTTAAGATACCTGCAAACAAATACTAAGCAAAATAAACTAAAAAGGCAAATCAGAGTAGCATGCACTCACTCTAAATACTGTATAAATATTATACACTTTAGCAAACCTGTTGTTTAACTTAATGGTATCTCCTGCCAAGGCAGGGTGACCCAAAGAAAACACATTCACTCAAATGCTGTGTTTCCAGAAGTGTGATATCATAATCAGATTACCCTCTGACTGCACCATTCCCATCCCTCCTTCAGAATGCCTCTACTGCCCCATCGACCTCCAGGACGCAAGTCTGGATAACCGGTTTTCCTGAATCCCTTCACAAGTTATCCTGTTCACACTCCAACAGTAAGAAAAATATTAAAACCCACCTGGCTCCATGCACTCCTTTCTAACACCCTTAAGAGATCGTACAGCTTACCTTGGGAAAGTCTTGGAGATCAAAATGTGTTACAATGGAACAAGATACTGCACATCGATGGAGGTTATTTTGCAGGGTAGTTTCGTCCGCTTTTACCAAGAGGTTGCTTACCAACATTCCCTCGTTCTTCAGCAACATCCCTGTAAAATTCAAGAGGCCTTGCAAATGAATGCATATCCACAGTACAATTGAAAAAAAAAAGAGTTCTTGACTAGGTTTTTATGTTATTTAGTGAATGATAATGAAGGGTTACACTAGGGTAAGAGCATTCTTACCAATATGAGGATGTATACGTTAAAAACAGATTGGTTTACGACAGACCTATGAGAATGGAGTTGTGCCCAGCAGCAGCGCACAAATCCAACACACAGTCGCCCTCCTCAGGTGCCAGGACCAAGACTGGAATCATTCCTGAAGGGCCCTGCGAAGAAACTTTTAATTAGTATACTCTCACTTGAATAGTTTTTACCAACAATATACAAGCCACCTAAATGTAAAGTGTAATTGAGCATAGAATGTGCACCAAGAGATGACATTTTTGTATACGCATCCCCCATTTAACAAACATTTTATAACATTATTTTGCATAATGACCAAAAGAAAAACCTTCAGAACTTCCCAGTAAAACAGATATTTAGTTCATACAATAACCTCATGTCAGGTGACTCACCCACAAACTTTAATAAGAGGCAAATAATGTTACAGTGCAATGGAAGGAAATGGAATAGGGAAGGATAGAGGAAAGAAAATGTAGATCCATTTCTGGTGAGTACATATAGTTTTGAATTATAAAATTTTTGGAAACACATTCAAGGCCTGGAAAACAGGAAGGATGGTGAGTAATCAGGTAGAGTTGAGGAATGCGAGGGTTGCTCCAATTCCTTGGAGGAAAACTACCACATTAATAATGACTACCCATTTATTTGTATGGTGACTTAGCAATAAAATAATTGCAGAATAACTAACCTGACATCCATAGAACATGCAGTAACTATCAGGTCCTTGATGCGAGGAAGGTGGAGATTGTTTTGGAGCTGCTGATTCAGGATATTCTGGAATTCTCACATCCCTATTGTGTTGCAAGTTCAGCAAATAATCTTGCGCCTCCTGATACTGTAAAAACCTAACATGTACAATCCTTTTAATTAAATTTCTATATTTTACCCACTGTCTGTTTCTATTTATTCTTCTAAGATATAATTCCGCCTTCATCGTTAGTGTCCCTGATCTGGCTTTTTTTATTAAATCTTTGGGTGCATACACACCCTGCATTAATTCTTGTAATATAATATGCTGCGCCTTTGCACCTGGGAAATACTTTTGTCGCTTGCTTGCAACCACAGCTGGTCTGGCAGATTTTACCTTCTGCCGAGTTGCAAGCAGCTGAGCTGGAGGATTGTCTTGGTGAGTTGGAGGATCCTCTTGCTGGGCTGGAGGATCCTCTTGCTGGGTTGGAGGGGCCTCTTGCTGGGTTGGAGGATCCTCTTGCTGGGTTGGAGGATCCTCTTGCTGGGTTGGAGAATCCTCTTGCTGGGTTGGAGGGGCCTCTTGCTGGGTTGGAGGATTCTCTTGCTGGGTTGGAAGATCCTCTTGCTGGGTTGGAGGGGCCTCTTGCTGGGTTGGAGGATCCTCTTGCTGGGTTGGTGGATCTTCTTGCTGAGAAAAAGGGTTGAACGTCTCTAAGCATATTTTCCAAGTGACTGCAGAGAGTCCATATGGGTTTCCAGTAAGATCTGGTGACTCATCTCTTTCAGTTTTAAGTGAGGAATACCAGTCTGCAACAGCTATTGTACTGTGCATCCTGGTCATCTTCGTCCACGTCTCAAACTAAAAAAAAAAGTAATGGAGCTGAGACTAACTGCATGTAAAATATCCGATGTAAATATGAATAAGCGAGTTTCTTACTATAATTCAAAGATACGCATCCATAATTATAAGAACAGAAGACTAAAGTGCGACTGAATTAAAAAATGTGGAACTGAATATACTAAGCTCTGCATATCAATGTGTTGTCCAGAGCCTGTGCCTACAGAGGTCAGCTTTATGACGTTCATGGGTTTAGCACATTTTCATAAAAAATATATAATGTAAAAAAAATAGAACGGGTAGGGTCTGAACCCATGGCGAGTGACCCTTGGCCACTGCGTAAGCCACTGGAGTTTTATGACTCACTCGCCAGGGTTCAAAATGGTGTTATTACGATTTCATGAGTCAAGGTGTAATGCAAAGGTCATGGTTAGACTCAGACCCACTGCAAAGTTAAGACGTGAAAGAGGTTGTAAGTTATCTACCTGTGGTATGAAGTATCTAGCATGATGCTCAGTGACAGCTTCCAGCTCAAAACCTCTCGGGACTTTGTCAACCACTAGAACCTCGCCGCACCATGACGCTTTGTTTACATGAGCATCGTATTTCAATAGGCGTTCTTTTAAATCATTTCTGGAAATCTGTTTTGAATCACAAATTAAAAAATTGTGAAGAACTGGACAAAATTTTCATTTAATAAATTCAACTTATTCCTATTTTAAAAGGGCTCTACTGGTGAGGAGCTATTGATCCAATGAACTGGAATTGTTCTTCCCTTCCTTGGATCAAATCTGACTGACTCCCATTACCCAGGGCCCGTATGACCCCTATGGGTTCAGTGATTCTCATTATTAAATATATCAAAATTATAAGGACTCTTTTCACCCAACTGCTTCTCCAGAGAAGACATTTGTACTTGGCCTTCCCTATGCAGTATTTCTAATTTACAGAATCTATAGCAGCCTTTGCCATTAAAACTGCATTTCAAAAAAACTAATACATACACTTCAAAGCAGTTTATTACATCAAACTTATCTTACCACTGATACGTTGGACAATTATTTTATTCTTAGGTAAAAGGACACATGTGCAATTAATGCTCCTCTATTTGATTAGTAATGATAGTACCCTGAAAGTTCATAATATAGTACCTTAGATAAGAATGGGCCTTGAAATAAGCTGAGGTAGGATAAGAACACCTAGCTTATGGGTCATGGGTCCCCACCTGATCAACTCCAATTCAATAAAATTTTCATGAAGGTTGGCATACATGTCATACCAACTTTGGGAAAGTTTTACTTCATCATATCCAATATTTGTAATGCTATGGCCCTCAGAGTGGAGACAGGTGAAAATCTCACCAACCCGAAGCACAATCAGCAATGTTCAGGTTATTGCTGTGGCAGATCTAGAAGAGTAAAATTTAAGTAGACATGCCGATACAACTTTAGGAGCTGATTTCAAAAATCGCAGTCCTAAAACTTGCATGCTTTTACTTTTTTTCACAGTATGAAGCCAAAGTAGTCAAAAAAAAAAAAATCTCACGTAAATTTGAATCTTGAATTCAGCTGCCAATATCGCTAAAGGAAAACATTATTTTAGTATGACATTATTGTAGCCAGCTACCCAAGTGGACATTGTCACAATCCTAAAATAGAAGACTCCAAACGTTCTTAGTTCCTGTGTTAATCGTACCTAAAAATGCCCTCACAGTGAATTTTAGGCCATTTTTGAAGACCAATAGCAAAAACAGTAGCATAACAAATTGTTTTAAAAACTTCATTAGAAAGAACAGTTTCTAAACTACAAGATATCTATTTTCTGGATAGGTGTTTTGCCCTTGAATGGAGAAAACAGACCTTAAAAAAGGGATTTTTGGCTTGCGCAACATTATAATGAAAACCAGGCATTTTTCAGTTGCTGTTGTTATAGATCAACAATAGCTAGAACCATGTGTTTAGGTGTTATTATACAATTTTCGGTGGCGAATTCAGATATTACCTTAACTGATAGGGACCGATTTTTATTTTGCAAATTAAGCTTAAAGTTGTCAAGTGTCGTGATAGCTGTGATGGCAGATATTGACCTTGATGATTTTCGACAAAACATTAATATTGCATTGGTCCATGGTGCCTATGCCACTACCAATTTTTAAAAAACTGGCAATCCCATCGCCTAGGGGTCAAGTCCGATAGCCATGCAATAACAGCCACGGGTGATGGGTCTCTTTTCCACATAATCCAAAGCCTCGAACTGGGTTTCTTTGCCACAGGTTCCCAAGCCTCAAATGAGGTTTCTTGGCCACAGGATCCCAAACCTCAAACTAGGTTTCTTTGCCACAAGATCCCAAGCCTGAATTTGGGCTTCTTTCTGGTTCCCAAGCCAGAGCTGTTTAATTTATGGCAACAGAAAATTTCTCATCAATGCTGGACATGGCTGCTGGCAACAGGCAGTATTGTTGTCCCATTGATGTTGCTGACATATTGGAAATAATATGACCTTCTGGAACCCAGCAGGTATCACTTAGTGCTGGCCAATAGAATAACTGAGCTGGACCAGCGCATCATGCTGCTCATCAGAAATTTCACAAATATTTGCAATCCACCATTTTTTGTCATAGATGTTTATGCATGAATTTTTATTTCTGGCATGATACGCACCATTTTTGCCCTGGCCTTATGTCTTTTTAATATTTTTTTTCAGCTTATCCGCAGTTGATCAGTTTCAGACTGTTCTTAATACTGTGATTTTCCTTTGAAAATGGATTACAGCAGTATCTTTCCTCATGCTCATACATTTGTTAAGAAAAAAAAAAAGCTCTGTGTTGCAAACAAATTCTTGATTCCTTATTGAACTTCAAACCTGAGAGCTTGCTTAACAATTCTTGGTCTTCAGCTTCAAAATCCTTGAAAAACTTGAAGCCTATTTTCCTTGCATAGAATTTCATAGAATGGCACTTAGTTGAATTGCCAGCTAGTCCAACTGCTCACGGATCCATGTGCCCTGGGTTTGTTTCATTTTCATACCTGATAAACTGCAATTTTATTTCGTCTGCCCACAATTTTTTTTTTTTTGTTTTTCACTCATTCGGTTGAAATAAACATCAAACATAAAATTTGGGCATAAATATTACAACTCAAATATACAAGTAAATGTTACGCTAGAAAAATAAAAAGCAGTCTTTTAATATAGTTTATTCAAATATATCATAATGAAACATGCAACAATGTACGATCCAACTGCATAAAATCAGTATCTTTCACAAAATTTTCTCACATTAATGTTTTGTCGAAAATCTGCAAGGTCAAAATCTGCCGTCACAATTGTCATGGCACTTTTCTTGACAACTTAAAGCTTAATTTGCAAAATAAATATTGGTCCCTATCAATTCAGATAATTTCTGAAATCGCCAACGAAAATTGTATAAGGATACTTAAATACGAGGTTCTAACTGTTACTGCTCTATAACAAGAGCAATTGAAAAATGCCTATTTTCACTATAACATTGTGCAAGTCAAAAATCACCTTAAGACCTGTTTTCTTCCTTCAAGGGCAAATCGCCTATCCAGAAAATAGATATCTTGTCGTTTAGAATCTACTCTTTCTAATGGTGTTGTTAAGAAAATTTGTTTCTTTTGCTTTTTTGCTATTGATCTTCAAAATGGCAAAGGGCATTTTTAGGTACCATTAACACAGGAACTAAGAACGTCTGGAGTCTGATATTTTAGGATTGTGACGATGTCCACTTGGGTAGCTGGCTATAATACTGGCATACTAAAATAATGTTTTCTTTTAGAGATATAGGCAGCTGAATTTAAGATTCAATTGTATGTGACAATTTTTTTTACCTACTTTGGCTTCATATCGTGAAAAAAGTAAAAGCATATAAGTTTTAGGACCTCAATTTTTGAAATAAGCTCAAAAAGTTGTATAGGCATGTCTACTTACACAACTTTACTCTTCGAGATCTGCCACAGCAATACCCTGAACATGTTATGCCCTGCGAGTCGGTGCAATTTTCACCTTTCTTCACTGAGGGCCATGATATTACTACTATTGCATATCATGAAGTAAAATTTTCCCAAAGTTAGTTTGATATATATGCCAACCTTCAAGGAAAATTTTTATCGAAACTGGAGATGGTCAGTTGGGGGAGATTTTCAAAATTGGTCTACTTACTTGACATGGAATGACCCTTATAAATTCAGCAGTGTAAACAAAATACAAGTGTGAAGCACATACCTTCAATGTATTTACCAGCAGAGTTAGCTCTCTGGGCGCTTCAATGCTATCCAGAATTTGATAAATATCAGTTCCCGGCATGGAGTGTAGTGAGAGGATCGCATATGGCGAGAGGTTATGTTCAGCAGATATTTTGGCCACCTCCTCCATTTTCAGGAGTTTCTTCCTGGAGCACCAAATAAATTGGTGGAATTAAAAAGGCTTTTAACAGTGAAACACACATCCAAGACAGGCATGGTTATACAGCACACACATCTAAGACAGACATGCATATGCAGCACACACCACCAAAACATATACATCCAAGTTAGTATAATACTTATTTTTTTGTCAAGGAATTTGAGCTGCCTTTTTATTGCGAGTCGAACATAATTACATTCCAAGAGGCGATGCATGACAACTACGGGATTAGCGCTCACCTCAATAATAATTGTTGAATTACTAACATACCTATTCGTGCTGTCAGCATAAGCCATCTTGAACTACAGACGATGATTTAAGACAAGAGTCGAGACGAGGTAACTTGCTGGAAGCTTCCACAATGGCGTCGAGGTCCAGACAGCGTCTACCCTA